TAATGTAAAATAAGAATTTAATGTGCCCAAGAGTGATTATTATTACGTATTAGTATCACTACTATGGCGTCAAGACTAGAGGGACACTCTTAGTGATTTTTAATTTGTACCTGCACGCCAGGACAGTGTGTAAGTTTATTTAGATACAGGTACACATAAGTACAGTGGAACCTCAGTTTTCATTTGCCCTGGTTTTCGTCAAATTCGGTTTTCGATGACTTTTTTTCATCAAAATTTTGTCCCAGTTTTCGTTCATCCACTCTGTTGTTGTTGAGTTGATAGTGGTCCGCCGTACCAAATGCATCCACCTGCTCGTGCCCACACAAAGCATCTCACGCGTTCTGACTCAGTCTGGATGTGTTTCTCGTCGAGTGAGCATTACCCTGCGCATTCATAAGAAACATTTCATAATAGTCCATTGTTCTTTGTGCCTGTTGATTGATTGTGACTGCTAAATAAGCCACCAAGGGGCCAAAGTTCCAAGTGCCGGCCCTTTGATAAAGAAGGCAAGAAACAACAGAATTCAAGAATGTGCCTTCTTCAGTGATTAAGGACATGTGTGCAAAGTGGAATGAGTTGCAAAGTTTTGTGGAGAAATATCACCTTAAAGCTGTTGCAAGCCATGTCTGCAACAAGTTCAATGACAATGCCATGCCCCATTTTAGGAAAATCTTACAGAGACACCAGAAAAAGACCTCTCTGGACAGATTTTTTATGCAACAGGGGTACAGTGACTCTCAAGCTGGTCCTAGTGCCAGTAAAAGACAAAGAAGGGAAGTAATCCTGGATAGGGCCTTGATACCTGAAGTCCTTATGGAGGGGGATTCCCCTTCCAAACAATAACCTCTCCTCCTCCCTTTTACCTCCCTGCCATCTTCCATACGCCAACAAGAGTCTTCAATAAAGGTAAGAGTGATGTTAAATGTTCATTTATCCATTTCATTAGTCATTTACGTATACAAGTCTCCCTCAACATTCGCCGAGGGTTAGGGGATCAAGAGCCTTGTGAATGTTGAAAAATCGCGAATGTTTGGTGCCCCAATATATTGTAGGGAAATATAATACAATACTTCTTCCTTAACTTGTTGAACCATGCACAATCATAAAATACATGAAAACATCGTAAATTGTACTAAATACATACATGTTATGGTTTAATAACATGTATGTTATTAAATACCACTGCCTCCACCACTGCCTCCACTTCCTCGACCACTGCGAGTCCCTACTACCCTCCCTCCGACCCCCCCCCAACTGCCAGCCAGCCCTCCTACCAGTGTGGTGAGTGTTTTGTTTGTTCATTATTTACTATTAAACTACAGTATAAATAATGTAAACCCGTTCATGACTGCATATTGAAATGACTATTCGGACAGGTAGTGGACGGTGACATCATGCGTTGACTCTTGAACACAGCAAAGAATCGAACATTTCTGCTACTGCTAATAACAACAATAGTAGTAGTAGTAATAATACTAATAATAATAATAATAAATTATAATAATAATAAATATGATAGAATTGAAAAAGGAAATTGTACAAAAATACGAAGGAGTGGTTGGCACATCGTCAGTGTGGCCTTGTTTATGCTGGAGTGAGCATTAATCTCCATGCTCTTCTAAACATTTCACAATAATTCATTGTGTTTGGTGCTTGTAGATTGAGTGCGAATGGAGTGGTAGAGGCAGTGGTTGGGGAAGCGGTTGAGGCATTGGGTGAGGCAGCGGTTGAGGCAGTGGGTGAGGCAGTGGTTGAGGCAATGGTAGAGGCAGTGGTTGAGTCAGCAGTTGAGGCAATGGTAGAGGCAGTGGGTGAGGCAATGGTAGAGGCAGTGGGTGAGGCAGTGGGTGAGGCAGTGGGTGAGGCAGTGGGTGAGGCAGTGGGTGAGGCAGTGGGTGAGGCAGTGGGTGAGGCAGTGGGTGAGGCAGTGGGTGAGGCAGTGGGTGAGGCAGTGGGTGAGGCAGTGGGTGAGGCAGTGGGTGAGGCAGTGGGTGAGGCAGTGGGTGAGGCAGTGGGTGAGGCAGTGGGTGAGGCAGTGGGTGAGGCAGTGGGTGAGGCAGTGGGTGAGGCAGTGGGTGAGGCAGTGGGTGAGGCAGTGGGTGAGGCAGTGGGTGAGGCAGTGGGTGAGGCAGTGGGTGAGGCAGTGGGTGAGGCAGTGGGTGAGGCAGTGGTGAGGCAGTGGGTGAGGCAGTGGGTGAGGCAGTGGGTGAGGCAGTGGGTGAGGCAGTGGGTGAGGCAGTGGGTGAGGCAATGGGTGAGGCAATGGTTGAGGCAATGGTAGAGGCAGTGCATGAGGCAATGGTAGAGGCAGTGCATGAGGCAGTGGGTGAGGCAGTGGGTGAAACAATGGTTGAGGCAGTGGTTGAGGCAGTGGGTGAGGCAGCGGTTGAGGTAGTGGGTGAGGCAGCGGTTGAGGCACTGGTAGAGGCAGCAGTTGAGGCAATGGTAGAGGCAGCAGTTGAGGCAGTGGTATTTAATAACATGTTATAAATAATAATAATACATATTACTAATAACATGTATTATTATTATTATTATTATTATTATTATTATTATTATTATTATTATTATTATTATTATTAACATGTATGTTATTAAATACCACTGCCTTGACCACTGCCTCACCCACTGCCTCAACCGCTGCCTCAACCACTGCCTCACCCACTGCCTCAACCGCTGCCTCACCCAATGCCTCAACCGCTTCCCCAACCACTGCCTCTACCACTCCAGTCGCACTCAATCTACAAGCACCAAACACAATGAATTATTATGAAATGTTTGGAAGAGCATGGAGACTAATGCTCACTCCAGCAAAACAAGGCCACATTGACGATGTGTCAACCACTCCTTCGTATTTTTGTACAATTTCTTTCTTCAATTTTATCGTATTTATTATTATTATTATTATTATTATTATTATTATTATTACTATTGTTATTATTAGCAGTAGCAGAAATGTTTGATTCTTTGCTGTGTTCAAGAGTCAACACATGATGTCACCGTCCAATACCTGTCCAAATAGTCATTCCAATATGCAATCATGAATGGGTTTACATTATTTATACTGTAGTTTAATAGTAAATAATGAACAAACAAAACACTCGCCACACTGGTGGGAGGGCTGGCTGCCAGTTGGGGGGGTCGGAGGGAGGGTAGTAGGAACTCGCAGGTGGCGGGAAACTTAAATACGATTTGGCGGCTGGGAATTTGGCGGTTGGTAATTCGCGATGTGTGAAGCCCGCGAAAGTTGAAAACGTGAATGTTGAGGGAGACCTGTATTTATTTCTCTTTGTTTTCTGTATGTAAAACTATAGTTATTCTCTATAAAAAAAATTTCATTAATATTTTTGGGCGTCTGGAATGGAGTAATTGGATTTACATTATTTCTTAAGGGAAATATTGCTTCCGTTTGCGTACAATTCGATTTTCGTCAGACTTTCTGGAACGAATTAATCACGAAAACCAAGGTTCCACTGCATAATTATCGGAGTACATATAAAATATGCAATAACTTTAAAAAACCCTGAAATTTCAGAAAGTTTCCAGACATAATGGAGATGTGCTCATGGAGAATGTAAACAAATCAGGTGGGGGGGGGGGGTGACCATATTAGAAAGACAAGGGGAGCCATATAGCAAGTTTTGGTCATAATTTGAAATGTACGTATTAGGAGAATACTGTAAAGCGAAACACCTACTGTATATAAAACGTGCAATCCCATCATAAGAGGCTTTATTGTACAAAATTACAAAAAAATTCCGGAACTACTTTCTGTAGAATCTTTTCCTTCCCCAGAACAGCTTGGATGGACCTACATAGCTGTCCTACTGACTAACCACTACAACTACATTTGCAATCAGGAAGCATCTTGTGCTTCATTCATTTGCAAAATGATTGGTAATATTTCCAACACACTGCCTTTCAATGCTAACCATGGAACCTAAGAGGAATACTAGCAATGCCAAGTATGAATTTATGATGGTATTGAAGAAAGTGGTTTTGTTAGGTATGCTTCAAGATGATGGCTGTGCCATGGAAATTGCTCATAGTGTTTGGTATGAACAAATAGGCCATTCATACAATTAGAAACAATTAGAGCTTGTGCAGCAAGACTGACTGACCTGATCAGATGAGTGGCAAGTTGTTAATTATGCAAGCCTGCAGGTTGTAGTTATATTCAGCACCTCATGCATTTTTGCACTGTTTAATCAATTAATATATATTCACAGAAAGTGCTGAACTTGTTAGGGTAATTCAGCACTATATTTTCTTAAATTGGTAAACTCAAGATCTGCAGTAAAGTTTAAAAACCTAATAGTCTATGAATGGATGTAGATAAATCAGCATCCCTGAAACTGCACAAAATGTCAAAGATCTCTCGTTACTATGACCTTCACTTCTCAATGCAGCTAAGTAGCACCACTGTCATTTTACAACACTTAGAAATGAAAAATTAAATATACAACTTCTTCAGGGCCATAACTCTAATAAGAAAGTTGTAAAGTGGTATGTAGTCTCCTTTAAGAATAAATATATATACAGAAAGAGCAGTTACAATTTCTGAATACAGCACATAAATACATAAAATTAACAGGATTTGCCTGCAAGTTAACATATCTTTAGGATGTAAACTAAATACAGCCTATCCTTACTCAGCGATGTACTCATTTACCGACGACTCACTTATGATGGACTCTTGACCAGTATGCATACCTAAATGTATATTAAAGCTGATTTCCTCTATTCTGTTTATTAAAAATATACTAAAAATGTTATAAATGGTGCAGAGGTGACATCAAAATGATATCAAAGATGGTCAACACAACCCACTACCATTATAGTATGCTCCTTGCCTAGTAACAAATTCGTTTACTGACGTGGTCTTAGGATCGGAATTCCATCATTAAGTGAGAAGAGGCTGTAATTAATATGTGCAACATATGTTTCAATATTTGTAGCCTTTCATCTTGTATGAATTAGTAGTAAAATTTGTAACCAACCTTTTCTGGTGAAACATGACAGAAGTTTGAAATCTTGTGTTTCACAGATTGATCAATGGGCTTCTCTGAACGGCATACAATGAAGTCCGGCGATAGCCCTAGGCCACGCAGTTCCCTCACACTAGACTGAGTGGGTTTAGTCTTGTGCTCACCAGTGGATGATGGTTGAGGCACCAGAGACACATGGACAACACATATATTTTGTCTCTGAAAATATGCAAAAACTCTCACTTTCAGGTCATCAAATTAATGGTTAAAATAAAGAAAAACAGTGTTTGCAAGGTCTGAGACATCTAGGATAATCTGGATTTTTTTTATATTTTATATTTTCAGTGCAAAGTAAATGAAATTAGTAAAAATAAAAAACCATCACTATTAAAAAAATTTCCAAAAACCACAAAAGCTTTGCGGTGATGTAAAATCTGCTCCAAAATACACACACTCCCAGAATACACCACAAATAGCAAATAAGCAAACAATGAGAACCTCAAACATAATATACGCATTAATGATCAAAAGACTTATACAAAATTCAATCATATAGAATATTTTTTTTTTATTAACACATTAGTCTTTTCCCACTGAGGCAGGGTGACCCGAGAAAGAGGAAACACTTTCATCAACATTCACTCCATCACTATCTAGAAAGAGGCACACCTACACTGCAGTTCAAAAACTGCAACGTATCTCCACCCCTCCTTCAGAGAGCAGGCACTGTACTTCACATTTCCAGGACTCAAATCCAGCTAACCAGTTTTCCTGAATCCCTTCATAAATGTTACTTTGCTCACACTCCAACAGCACGTCAGTCATAAAAACCATTCATCTCCACTCACTCTTAATACATTCATACACTTGCTTGAAGACCAAGCCCCTTGCACACAAAACCTCTAACTCCCTCCCCCCAACCTTTCCTAGGACAACCCCTACCCCACATTCCTTCCACTACAGATTTAAACACCCTCCAGGTCATTCTATTTTGTCCCATCCTCTCTAAATATCTGAACCACCTAAACAACCCCTCCTCAGCCCACTGGATAATACTTTTAGAAATCCCCCACCTCTCTCTAATCTCCAAGCTACAGATTCTCTGCATAATATTCACACCACACATTGCCCTCAGATATGACATCACTAAATCCAGCCTTCTCTTCATTGCAATATTCACCACCCATTCTTCACACCCATACAAGAGTATTGGTACCACTATACTCAAATACATTCCCCTCTTTGCTTCCATGGATAATGTTCTTTGTCTCCAGACTCCTCAGTGATCCACTCACCTTTTTCCCCACTCATCAATTCTACGATTCACCTTATTTTTCATAGACCCATCTCCTGAGAAGTCCACTCCCAAATATCCGAATACCCCCTCCCTCCAATTTGATATCCAATCTTTCATTACCTAAATTTTTATCCTCATCACTTAGTTCTTTCTTATGTTCATTTTTAATTTCCTTCTTTTACATACTCTTCCAAACTTCTTCACCAACCTCTGCCAGCTCTCTTCAGAATCTCCCAAAAGCACAGTGTCATTAGCAAAAAGCAACTGTGACAACTCCCACTTTGTGTTAGATTCTTTCTCTCTCTAATCCCATACCTGTTGCCAACATCCAAGCATTCACTTTTCTTACAACCCTATCTAAAAATATGCTGAGAAACCATGGTGACATCACGCATCCCTGTCTGAGGACTACTTTTACTGAGAAATAGTCTCCCTCTCTTAGACACACTAACCTGAGCCTCACTGAGTCACTGCTTTCAATAACCTACCACCTATTCCATACATTTGCAACATTGCTCTCCTAACCACCCTATCATATGCCTTTTCCGCATCCATAAATGCAGCAAAAACCTCTTTACCCTTATCTAAATATTGTTTACCTATATGCTTCACTGTAACATTTGCTCTACACACCCCCTACCCTTCCTGAAGCCTCCTTGTTCATCTGCGATCCTGCTCTCCATATTACTCTCCTTCAAAAATAACCTTACCATACACTTTGCCAGATATACTCAGAAGGCTTATTCCCTTATAATTTTTACACTCTTTGGTCCCCTTTGCCTTTATACAAAGGAACTATGCATGCTCTCTGCCAATCCCTAGGTACCTGACCCTATTCCATACATTAAATAAAAGCACCAACCATTCCAAAACTACATCCCCACCTGCTTTTAACGAATGTCTTTATCCCATCAATCCCAGCTGCTTTACCCCCTTTCATTCTACCTACTGCCTCACACACTTCCCCCCCCCCCCACACACACTTCCCCCCCCCCCCACACACACACAACTGGCTCTTCCTCACTCCTACAAGATGTCATACTTCCCTGCCCAATGCACAGAATCACAGCATCCCTATCTTCAACTAACAAATGATGCGATATACCTGGGCCCCTCTATAAACATGCACATCCTGAAATCTACCCATCAGTCTTTTATCTAACAATACACATTCTAACAAACTACTGTCATTACACCCTACCTCTTGTATAATTATCCTTTTTTTTCTTAACCCTTTTGGCATCAGTCCTGTTATATAACAGTTTCGAAGCCAATATTGGTCCCATAATACAACTCCATGAGCTCAGCTTACTCAGATTAGCTGTGAGAGAATGGGTCTATGCAGTAAGTGTGCACCATATAAAAAGTCCTGCAGCGCACTGCATAATGAGGAAAAAATTGTGACTAAGTTTTTGGTTTAAAACACTGACTTTGCAGTATATATTCATATGGTTATGTTGTATTCTCAGTTTCTTTGTCTCAATTGATAGAATGAAAGGTATATTACTGAAAGATATGATTTTCATTGGCTTCAAGACTGAAAATAGCTTCAAACTGATCTCAGTAGTAGAAATATTTTATTTTTGCCAATATTCCAGAGTACACAAATGATGTCATTTGTCCAACAGACATCCAGTTTGCCAGTCTAATTTGAATTTAAGAATGCACTGACATTATTTATACAATTACAGTGGATCCCCGAGTTTTGTGATTAATCCGTTCCAGAGAGTCTGCCGACTGGCGAAATTCACGAATGGCGAATCCCATTCGTGAATTTCCCCATAAGAAATAATGGAAACCCAATTAATCCGTTTCAGACAGACAAAAGTAATAAAAAATCATTTTTTTAAGATAAAATATAAATTTATATACAGAAAACAATGACAAATATAAAGCACTAATAAATGGATAAATGAACATTTAACATCACACTTAACCTTTATCGATTCTTGTTGGTGTAGGAGGTAAGTAGGAGGCAAGAGGAAGGCGAGTTTATTATGCTTCAATATGAGGCTAATATCTCTATGGCTTATTTATCTATCATAATTCATCTAATATGACATTATAAACAATATTAATAACATAGAAACATATATACTATAGAATGAATAAAATATAGAATGAATAAAATATGTCAATGTATGAGAGGAGTAAATAGTGTAAGTGTTGTTGTTGGGTTCAAGGGCCGCCACCGAGAGAAGCCGTGTTGGTGGCGGTGGAGGTTTTGGCCACCACCACCATCACACTTAATGTATGTAATTTATAAATAAGAAATATTTACATTTTAATTTATAAATAAGAAATATTTACATTTTAATTTATAAATAAGTAAGTTTATTCAGGTATACACAAATACAGTTACATACACAGATTATCATACATAGCAGCATATGTGTAAAGTACCCAGGATAACCCAAAAAATTCAAGTGTGACATATTTCCATTGGTGTCCTTTTATATTTACACTTACATTTACTTTTATACTTACACTTTTATATTTACACTTACCTTGGAGGAGATGTTAGTTTAATTAGTTAGTTTGATGAAGGAGATGTTGGCAGAGGTTTAGGGTGGTGGAAGGTAGCAGGGCAGTGTATGTTCAGCAGTCCTATACACATCCAACAACATTGGAGACTTACTCTCATGTTGTTTTTCTATCACTTACTCGCTACACTGTTAATTCTATACTTTATCGCTGGCTGGAGCTATATAGCCTTTATCGATACCAGCTGCTTTAGTATCATACATACTGTAGAATCACTGAATCACTGCAGAAGGCACATTCTCCCCTCTCTCTTCCTCCTCTACTTTAGTACATTGCTATGAGGTTTTTTTCTTGAATTCTATCATGTTTCTCACCTTCTTTACCAAAGGGCTGGCACTAGGAGCTTATTTAGCAGTTGGTGGCTTATTTAGCAGTTGCAAGCACAAATAACAATGACTTATTATGAAATGTGTTGTATGAACCCGTGGGGTGATGGTCACATGCTGGTAAACAATGGCACACTAAGTGTGAATAGTGCAGGAGACTGGCTTTGTGTGCGCGCTGACGGGCAGACGCGTACCAGAAGGGCGCCAAATCACGAGTCCAATCATGAACCACGAAGCTAACTTTTGCCGAAAAAATTTGCCGAAAGTCAGATTTCATGAAAGTCACGGCCGCCGAACGACGGGGTCCACTGTATTACAATAATGCAGTAGTTTACATAACTGTAAATCTATTTTTTTGTGTGAATAAAAATTCAAAATGGAAAGCAAGCATAACATAAAAGGGGCCTGGAGACATGGCTAAGGAACAGAATAAATGTTTTTTTAGTACCTGTTTATTCTGGACCCTTTTTTTTAAATGGGCATTTTTTTAATTGTGTGTGAAATTTGTCAAATTACCAATTTCTGAGCACTTTATTGGGAAGCTGAAATAGGTAAATGGGTAGTTTCTTGTACTTAATCAATAGAAGGAATATTAGCAAAATAGCCAAGTTTGGGAGACTGGAACAATTGCATTGGCCAAAAATAGAGTGTAAATTGGGAGAAATCGCCAAAGCGTAAATATAGCCGAGACCATTAACTTTGTGAGAGCCTAATTCCATAAGATTTCCATGAACGTTCGTACTTTTGGTTTCATTACTTTCAGAAAAAGATTGGTGGAATAATGAAGGGTGTGATAAAAGAGAAAAAGGAAGCTTATGAGAGGTATATACAAAGCAGAAGTGTTATAAGAAGAGCAGAGTATATGGAAAGTAAAAGAAAGGTGAAGAGAGTGGTGAGAGAGTGCAAAAGGAGAGCGGATGATAGAGTGGGAGAGGTACTGTCAAGAAATTTTAATGAAAATAAGAAAAAATTTTGGAGTGAGTTAAACAAGTTAAGAAAGCCTAGGGAACAAATGGATTTGTCAGTTAAAAACAGAGTAGGGGAGTTAGTAG